ACAGTCTCTATTTACTTTGACAAGCATGAATATATATATCTTTTTATTTTACAACTGTTTATTGTAACATGATTATTGCATGTAAGTGACAATACACATTACTTTTATAAAATAAATCTTGGTGAAACTTTGACCTATTAGCAACCTGGGAAGGAGGGCATGCCTTTAATTTAATAACATTTATCTATAAGCCTATTTAACAATAGGTGAATATCTTTAAAAAAAAAATTTTTTTTTCAAAAGGTGAAAAGGAAAAGAGAAAAAGAAAAAGAAATTGAGCTCAACTATACAGACAACAGACAAACATATAAGACAATTTATAAAATTAGAGTGTACTCAAATATATTTGGCCAAATTGAATTATAATATCCTCTTTATGATTATTAGATTTATAATTGTATGACTGGTCAAAACTTTAGAATAGTCAATTAACAGAGATCTCTTGAGATTAGAATCAGAAGGAATAAAAGCATAAATATAAATATAAATATGTAAATATAAAAAGAGCATTTTGAAGTTGTCACCCCCTTTTAAAATTTTTTACCATAAATCTATAATTATTATTTCTCTGGGGGCATCATTAGGTAAGTGCATCTGTTCCTAGGCAGTTACCCATTCTCTGTTTCCAAGAGCATATCCATAGTGATTTTCTTCTTTTGTCTATGTGAATGACCTAATTCTGTTTTGACCTTATCTTCATATTTCATTTTCCACAGTAAATAATCCCCTCCAGGTAGGCAGGCTTTTGCTACCTGTTGTCAATCGTATGGTGTCATCCATTTTCCCCCTAAGGTTTCTAGTAGAGTCATAGTATAGGGAGAGGAAGCCTCGTAAGAATGTACAGTGGTTTTAATTTCTTTTAGTAGTTTAAAAGGCAAAGGCTCCCATACCGGCTTATAGTCCCAGTCTGTGTCAAAGATGACAGAAAAACAGGAGAAAGTGGCATTGCCTGCCACAGCAGCTTTACGAACAGCTCCTGCAAAGCCGACCTGATTTGGTGGTGGAGGAAAATGGTGCCCGCGAGCCTTACCTTTAGATATTTTAGGGCTGCACCAAGCTGTAGGCTGCAAAGGTGGCCAATCAGGATCGTGATATCCAGCTGCTTGTTCCTCTAAATCCTTCTCCTTGGAAGGAGACAAAAGCTCATCTGAATCATTTTCATTTTCTGTTACACCATAAATGGAAGGAGATTTTTTAGTTTTTAACAATGGAGTTTCCTCTGTGGGTGCTGAAAGAAAAGCATCTGAAGGACAAGTATTAATCATAGAAGAACCCATAGATTGATTAATCACAGACCAATAAGAGAAGGCATTAACAGGAGTTTTTTCTGGCCCATATTTAATATAATATTTCTTTATGTCTTTTCCCACACGTCCCCAAGTATCCACGTCCAAAGTTCCTGCATCTGGGAACCAAGGACAGCATTCCTGAATGAAGTCCAGGAAGGCTGATAAATCTTTGGTAGCAACCTTAACCTTATGAGATTGCAAACAGTGTTGTAAAATATCAACAAAGAGTCTTTTTTAGACCCCTTGTGGCCCATTATCTTCTCTATAAGTTCTGACTATTCACCCCTCTCTTAACGCCTACTCTTTTTCTCTGAGTGCGGGGCCTGCAGTGCCCTATGGGGTGAAGGCCGCCCAAGACCGAACTATAATT